GCGGCGCTAATATCCTAGCCTTAGCGCCCCTAACACCTGGGCAACACTCATTTTTGCCCCTTAGTAATAATTAACCAAATTTTCGTAAGTGGTACTACAGACCCGATATCCGGTACTACAACAACACAAAACAGGTACTGCTTTACTCTATGATATGTACTAATTTTGAAAATGACCGAATTTGAAGTAATCCTTTTTTTGTTCTTTCTACAAAGCAGGTATTAATTGATCAATAACTGGTACTGAATAGAATAATAAATGGTACTAATTCAAAAATAACTGGTACTAATTGATCAAAAGACATCATCCGGCAAAAAAAAAGTACAATTGACCAAATGCAAAATACACCTAGGCAAAAACAAAATACACTTGGACACAAAAAAAAAAAAAAAAAAAAAAAAAAAAAAAAAACTACACATGCCCAAAGAACAAAATACATGAGTGATCTAGATACGTTCTTTGCACTTACGTCGATTGTGTCCACGACGACCACAACGCTTACACCACCTAACCGCAACATCAACTTGTGAAGGAATTCTTTTTTCCCTCCTGCGTCCGGGCTGAGGTCGTACTTCCGGAGCATGAATGACATCATTATGATATATCGAGGAAGAGGCCACATTATGATCGTAGTTAGGTATAGGGTTAATGGTACCTTGATAAGCTTGCCTATACATCCCAACCCGATAATATGGATCACAAAAATCATAAATGGACATTGACTTACTCTCAACACAAGCACATGCATGCTTACATGGCATCTTAGATATTTGCCATTCTCTACAAGAACAAATGCGAGATTGCAAATCCACGTCACAACTTTTGTCGGCATCAACAATCTCAAACCTCCATTCACTTGATTGCATGATTTTGAGACTCCGGGAAGCATCGTAGCGAGATGAAATTATTTTTTCGAGCTTAGGACACAAGGGGCCATTAAACCGTGACCCTCCTTCACGTCGATCATGCATCATGGTCATAATTTGCTTCCGTATGTGATCGACCATGGCTACGATAGGCATAAATCGTGCCGACTTCACCCAATTATTCCAACATTCTGCTTGATTATTATTCATGATCCCCCAACGGTCTCCGGTAAATAAAGAATTTACCCAACAATTTGGGTTAGAATCCTGAAAGAATTTTATAGAAAGAGGCATAGCAGTCACTATATTATTTATATGCATATCAAACTCTTGCCTCGTAGGAGCATACGCAGCTTTCTTAAAAATCGAGGACCAATGCTTCTTATTGTTAAGTGGGTAGCTCTTCAAAACCTACAAACAAAAAATAATAATAATGAAACCTGCTTTATAATGAAAAAACAGAACTTATAAAAATAGAAAACCTAACAGAATGTAAACATAATGTACATTATGAATAATTAGCGAATAGAATGTACATTATGAATAATAATATAAACAGAATGTCCTACTAAATGATGACTGAATGTAAAAATAGTAGTATCACTAATGAACCCTAAACAAATTGAAAAAAAAAAAAAAAAAAAAATTGCACAAATTGCACTAACAAAATGTAACCGAATAGTACTAACAGAATTTAAACTAAAAAAAAATATGCAAACAAATTGCACAAATAGTAATTAGTGAAAAATTACATGTGTCTTAAAGTTATCGACTAAGTGTCTCAAACAATAAGCATGATGGCTCTCAGGAAAAACAATAGGGATGGCTTTAAGAAGCCCGCTATGTCGGTCCGTATAAAACGTGAAGCTTCTAGAAACAGGGAAGCCGGAGGTAAGAAGAGTATTATTCAGCTTCAAGCAAAACCACTCCCAGCTTTCATTGGTCTCGGCATCAACGACAGCAAATGCTAAAGTGAACAAATCATCATTGGCGTCCTTACTCACAGCACTAAGCAAAACGCCTTTGAATTTATTTTTTATGTGTGTGCCATCCAAAAATATCAACGGTCGACAACCGGTTAAAAAACCAAAAACACAAGCACGAAAGCAAACGAACAATCGACGGAACTTATTTTGGACATTGTCAAGCTCACAATCCGCAATGCTTCCCGAGTTTGTCTCATGCACCGCAGAACAATACATTCTCAATTTATCATAAGAGCCCTTGTCTGCTCCATGAATTTCTTGCATGGCAATATCCTTCCCGGACCATGCCTTTTTGTAAGGCAACTCCAAGCCATAATCCCTATGAAGATCTTTCAATATCGTGCATGGCCTGTAGCTTGGTTCATCTCTCAATTTCTCCTTAATTGCATTTGAGACCCAATGAGCGTCTGCTTTCGGATGCCCCCTTGTCCGAAGATTGGACACTCCACAAGTATGGACTAAATTGCTCTTCCGGATGGCAAAGACATGATCACCTTTGAATTTTGAGGCATAGATTCTCCATTGGCAACCCTCGTCAGTACAATAAACAATGATCTTTTGTTGATCATTTTTTCGATACTTAAACGAACGCCTATTTGCAATGGCGTAGTTTTTAACAACCTTCCGAAATTCATCCGCCCCGCCACCGAATATCTGTCCCTCTCCTTTGATGGAAAATTTCCAAGAATCGATCGAGCTATTTTGCACTACAAACTCCGATTCTCCTTCCGGTAAGATTTCCCTGCAATCATTATAAAAAAATACAAATTTTTATAAATAACGGAACTAGTTAAGAAATTAATAAATATTACGAAAGCAACATTACCCTCTCATGCTCATCGGCATGGATTGAACTCCTTCATCCGCTCTTTCATTTCTTCCAATGCCCGAGCTTTCATTTCTTTCAATGGAAATTATCTCCACAATATTTACTTTCCAACAACCGTGTAACCGAATCATGTTTTTTATATCCTCATCATCGGACAAAATAATTTTTTTTTTCCTTTGGTGCAATGTAGTTTAACATGACGGTTTCCGAACTAACAATCGGCCACCTCTTACCAATGAGAGAGTACACTTCATCAAGAGTTGATTCAAGGTTCATAGAGAACACATAAATTTCATCCTTGTATGTACAACTCCCTAATATATCACTTTGTGCCCCTTCCATGTATCTAACAATAATTGGATTAAAAAAAAAAAAAAGTTCACAATTCCCAGCAAATAAGATACCAACAGTGAGAAAAATGGTACTATATATCCAAACAGAGGTACACACAATCATGAAGAGTGGTACTATCATTATTCTCATCTTATTTTTTTTTTGTTTTATGGTCAATAACACCTAACATAACCTAACAATAACATAAATTTAGTATACATGAACAAAAAAGAAGGATTATGATCACTTTATTTATTTTAGGGTAAATATAAACAACAATATTCAACATTCAATCCTTCACAAATCAAACAAAATACATGAATTAAAGATGATTTTTGGACTCCAAACTTCTCATGTAATACATACATTACCTACTACAAATTTTTGCCGGAAAAAGTCACAATCTTGCCGGAAAGAGAATAATTTTTTAACAGAGAAAAATAATTTTTTCGCCGGAAAAAAGCCAAATGTCGCCGGATTTGTTGCCTCTGGAAGAAGCCCCATGGTTCGGTTCTATTCTCCAGCGAGATGAAGCTGCAAGAGAAAAAAAAAAAGCTGCTGCCGAGATGAGGAAGAAAAACGCGGGAGAAGAGAAGAGGAGAGTGGGGAAGAAGAGTGGGGAAGAAGTTACTTTTAGGTAAACAAAAATAATAAAATAATGTGTCAAAATTAGTAGATAGTGGGATGATGTCACATTTCAATTTCTTTGTGATTTATTTTAATGGGAGGGATTTAAATGGAACTTGATTAAGGGGGTAGGTAGTGAAATAGAAAATAATTATATAGAGAGACTGACTTGGAAGTTCATTTAGGATGTAGGAATTTTTAAAGAAGACTAAACTATTGATGAAAATAACATGCATTAATTGTCCTTTGACTTTTCTACCTACTAATTTTGGTAAATGGAATGACTTATTATATAAGTATAGATAGAGAAATGAAATGGCAATCCTAATGCATTTGTTATTTACCTACCACAAAATTAGGCAAATATAGGTGGTTGATTGGTAGACAATATTAAAAGATAAGAAAAACAAATAAAATGTGATGTAATGATTCTTTAAGGAAAACCAAAAGTATTTTTATTAATTGTTAGTTGATTTATATATGTCACTTTTTCTATGGAGCAATCGAATGACTCGACTTATGGAGTCATCTACAATTATTCACAAATAACTAGTACGTAACCCGTGCTAAGAAATTAAAAAAAAAAAAAAAAAAA